TCATTTATTTAGATGTTATAAGTGTCAAACATAAACCTCTTGCATCAATTACAAACAACATGCATATTAACAAGCTTCGTAATAACTCATTAAATAATTCAAATAAAGCAACTGATAGAACTTTAAATTACTATTTACATTTAATTAATACATCTTGTTATACCACACCACATTCATCATCATGTTCAACTAATACATATCTATCTATCCTAATACTACGTTCACCATATTTGACTGATACGCCTTTATCTATGGCGTATAATGTGTATCCATCTAAACCACATACTCTGCGTTCAACTAATGCACGTTCATTTACATCTCACTCTAATAATACAAATTTTAATAATAATGTTTTTCGATCAAATACATCTAATGTGTTTCATTTGAATACTTCTCTAAATGATAATACTGATATTCGTCTGATATTTGACACTTTCAATGATGATGAGTTTCGTTCAAATAATACATCTTTTTGATCAAATAATGTAGATTTTACACCTTTTCATGGAATGAATAATGTTCACCAAATTTGCTCATGGCTATGTAATAATCCTGATGTCTTATTATTAGCTTACAATATGTATATGTCGATAAAAGCATCAGTTATGAATGAATTTAACTTTATTTTGCCAAATTGTAATTCATCAATGTCAGCAACTTCTGCATCACATGTATAAGAAGACAAGGTATGATTTAACAATAATTTTATTTTTGTTATTTATTTTATTACTAACTGCCAAATAAATCATATACAGATTAAAGCTAGTCACGATTTTTTTGAAGAACTGAAGTGTTTGTTTCTCTGATCTCGAAACCCTAAAAAGAATACTTTCGAAGAAATGGTCTGGCAAATTTTTAGGTGTGATTTAAATTCGGCTGAAGGCATTGACTGGTTGTGAGCAGCTAATAGAAACTTTGGAGATTTTCGCAATAAATTTCTTGACATTATTGAGAAAAAGGTTTATATACTCAAAGAAAAAAGGGCTGAGTAAGCAATTCTTTCATTTTAATTCCATCAATTTTATTATTCTAGCCATTTTTATGTAATTTATTTTGTTTATAGGGAAGGAATTTCGTATACAACTTGTCCTTCGCAAAGAGAAATTGTCTCATTTGTAGATGAAGCTGAAACAAAAAACGTCTTGTATAGATGGCTAAATGCAACTAATATATTCGAATTATAGTCTCAAAATACGATGCTGCATTTATGTAGATTGGTCATAAATGCAATAATTATTAATTATGTAGAGAGAGATACAGAAAGGACCAAATCCCTGGATAATATGACGAGAAATATAGCAGTTCCATCCTGAAACAGCAGAAATATCACCAGCAATTTACAGTTGTGAAACAGGTATTTATTTATTACTATATTGATAGTTATTTATGAATTTAATTTAATAATGAAAGCAAAAAAATCATTTTACAAAATTATACAAAGGATTTCAAATATTGACAAGCAGAGACCAAAATAAGACAGATTATAAGTCTACATTTTTTAGCTCTTGTTAGGGTTCAAGTTTTCAAGTTTTCAAGATGTGTAATTTTGCATGATTATGGTGTTTTATTACATTAATTATTATAAAATATAGCGGCATTATTTTATTGCAATAGTTTATTATAAAAAAAATTACAAAAAAATTCCATAATATGCGTAGTTTTTATTAGGTCATGCTTTTTCTATAACAATCATTTATATATAACAACAATGAAATTTAATTAATAATCGTTCTTTATACAATGAAAAATTTTACTATAAATTTAAAAAAAATTAAAAAAAATACAATAAAAAGAACTCTTAAGAAGTTGGTAAATTTATTGTCAAATAGTATCTAATTCATCGAAAAAATATATTGGATAAGTTATTTTGAATAAGTATCAATGATATCATTACCTATCCAATATTATATTACGACTTCAAAAGGTTTTTTATCGATAAATTCTCAATCATGTTACAAAGTCATTTGAAGCTACGTTGTCACGTGTTGAATACTAAATTATCGTAATTTAATGGTGATCACTTAATCGTATAGTAATAAATCACGAGTTTCTGCAAAGAATATGCAAAACTAAAGTGAAAATACATGTCAATACCACAACGTGCTGCTCATATTACGTGAAAATACATATCAGGTGGTAAATACGCCGCTCATAAATATTGGAATCATATATTACTACAAAGTAAATTAGATATCTATTAGAATAGGTATACTTCTTTTTATGATGTCTTATTTTTCTTTGTAATTTTCTTCTTTGACAAACATTTAGATTAGCAAGAGTTAATACGTATCATCTTTTATTAAAGTTTAGAAAATTTTGGATTCTAAAAATATAAGATATTTAAAGAATTTGAATTAACAGCATGTTTGTGAGAAAATTTTGTGTTTCAGGAATAAACATAAGGAAAACAAATCTTTTGCATCAATAGAGAGGAAAATTTCTTCAATTGGAAATATCTTATCGTCAAGAATGCATTGAAAATTATTTGTATCAATAAAATTGAGTCTAACAAAACTGTCGCCAATTAAAATTCAAGAGGTTAACTGATCATGCTCATTTCACTAATAAATCTTGTTTATAGATTGATATGATCAAAATAGAAAAAATCTTAGAATCATCACAAATATAATATTCAAGCTTAATTTGGTATCTGCACATTCAAAATACAAGAAAAAATTTTTTGATTTGCATAATCTGTTTATCAAAGATTTTTTCTCATGTTAAATTACTTGTATACATTCATTCTTTTCTTATATATCTTACATAAAAAGTTTCAATATTACTTGCATTAAAAATTCAATTGGATGTATAATATTATTATTTTAATTATGTTTATTTTTATTATTTTTTTATTTTACGTAAAATTTATATATTATTTTAAATTCCTTAATAATTTTATATATATTAGATTTCAAAAATAATTCATTTTAAATGACATAAAAAATTTTTTTCTGCAGAAAAATAAACAAAAGTCTATTAGTTGATGAATTTCATCAAATAAGAAATTTGTAAAATATATTAAATCTTGTTTATGGATCGATAAACATAATAAAGGGAGTTAATCTATTAGACAAAAATGATGTAATAAATTTTTAGAATTATCACAAGCTTAATTTGATATTTATACATTAAAAGTACAAGAAAAAAATTTTTTATGGTTTGAATATTGTTATTTTTTATTTTTTTTTTTTATGTAACATTTATATGTTATTTCAAATTTCTTAATAATTCTGTATACATCAATTTTCTAAAAAATTATAAAAAAATAAATTATTATAAAACATATGGAATTATGATACAGAAATCATCAATTACATATACAAATCTTATAAAAAACATATCATTTCTTTACTTTGATTTTTTATAGGGTATTATTATTAAATTTAATAATAAAATTGAGATAATCAAAATTAATTATTTTAGTAATAATTAGGAAATGATCGATATACAAATTGACTAATCATATAAATATCTGTTATGTTTATTTAGATTATATAGTGATACTATAATCTAAGGTAAGTGAAATATTACTATATAATATAATTATAATATAGTGAAATTTTGCTAGTATTACAAAATTGATTTAATATTATTTTTACAAGGCAGATTTAATAGCAAAATTTTAAATATTTTATAATTACATTATTTTTAAAATAATTTAATATTAATAAAAATATTATTATAATAAAATATTATATATATAAAATTATTATATCACCCTATTATTTAATTTAATTCAATATATTTTTAGTGTAATTTTTTATTAGCTAGTTACGTTTATTTATAATATAACATTTTTTTGATCATTAATTACTCAAAATTAATTTACTAGTCTCATAACCTACTTTTAATAGCTTAGCTTTTATTTGTAAAATAATGATTATAATAAAATATTATATAGATAAAATTATAATATCATCTTATTAATGATTTGACACAATATATATTTTAATACAATTTTTTATTATTATTATAATATAATTAATTATTCAAAATCAATTATTAGTTTCAGAACTACTTTTATAGATTAGTTTCTATTTAAATTTTTTTTTATGAAAGTTTGTTATTATTATTATCAACTTAAGTTTATTTCTTGACAAATGTTATAAAAATATTAAAAATTAAAAAATTTAATCACATGACTTATATCAGTATACAAAATTAACTTATTTATTAAAATTTTTGGATTTTTCTTATTTTTTATGATATATGTAGATTAATTGAATCAAATCACTTCATTAAATTCAAACTTGATAAATTTTTAATAAAAACAATAAAATTTAAAAGGCAATATATGTAAAGAAATTAATGGGATTATTATGTTATTTTATATATAATATTCTGTATACTCACAATTTCATATTAAAAGATTACTATATTTAATTAATCTCTTTTCACAATTTTAGTAATTTTTGAAAATTTAATATTGATTATATTGCAGTAACTTTTAAAATATATTTTCTTTGAAAGGTTTTTAAAATTTTAAAGCATAATATAATATTATAAGAAATTAAATTGTTTGAATGAAAAAAACCTTTCATTGCTATTAAAATCAACTTGTTTAGATTTCAGTAAAAGTATAATTTCTTATTTTGCATTGACCGAATCAAAAATTTTAAAAGTATTATATTTGGTTAATCTTTTTCATCAATTTTTGGTTATTTTGAAAGGTCACTATTAACCTTATTAAAGTAACTTTTGAATTAAGTTTAATGCATTTGCTTTGGCTAAAAATTCTTTAATAATATATATAATATAGGATGTTTTAAATGAAAAAAATTTTTTATTGCTATTTAGGATAATTCGTTTTAATTTGTGAGTTGCTATAGTTTTGCATAGCCAGAGAAAAAAAAAGAAATCTCTGAAAAAGAAAGTATGAAATCGTGTGTATGATAAACTGATAATGATTTAATCAGTGCGACACGAACTGTATAACAAATCACGTGATTGTGTCTATCAGAAGCCATAAATTTTTGATTTTCGAGTTTCTCGATCGGCAGTTTTTACTATCCTGCTTATTGGAAAAAAACTTAAGAAACGATTTATTGGCCACAAATATTCAATGACATTAGAAAATATACACAATCTTGTGACAGTTGTCAAAGGAGAGAAAGAGTGGTGTAATATTTCAAAACCTTCTACGCCTGCCTTCCAAATGAATCGAAGCTTTTGTTTCAAGAGAATGGAATCACCAACTCCGACTTTAAAACCTTTATTATTTAATTACACTAAAAAGCTTAAGGAAATGACGATCCTTTTGGGACATTCTAAAATTCTACCAAACTTCCCCGAAAACAAAAGAGCGTTAATTGTACAAGAAACGTTCAAGATGATAATGAAGCATGCTTCATTAAAGGAAATGGATATTAAAACGACTTTTTCTTTCTTGACCATCAATGTACCATATATTACCTTTCCTGGAGCGAACCTTTGTTTTCAAAACCTTCCCAAATTTGTTGGGGATTCATCTACAAACTCCGAATTTTGTTCTCGACTTGCCGATATCTACAAAGATATTAAGAAGTTCAAAATGGAAATTGCCGAAGATATAAATGAAGGAATGAGGAATTTAGATAAACTCAACTTGTGATAATACGTTGAATTTTAACGTTATCAATTTCTGCCCGAAATTAAAATTTTTATGTATTCAATGAAGAAACCGAGTTAAGGTTCCTTCTTAAAAATTGTGAAGAATTAACAACCCTTGAAGTGGGTTGTTATCAAAGTTCTCTTAATGAAAGCAGGGTCTTGGGTCTTGGTAATTGTGGCTGAAGTTGATGCATCTACCTTATCAGAGTTAAGAATAAATAAGAACACTATTCAGAGAGATGAACAACTTTTCTCTGATTTATCGAGGGATATAAATTGGGGGGAGAAAAGTACTCCCATCTCGATAATATTGAATGCTGAAGAAGGGTTAACAACAAACGAACAAGGTAGACAGATTATTGAGAAATATATATCGCTAGGCAAAATAAAAAGTTATGAAAAAAATCTCCCGCCCGATGTTTGATCTTTATATTTTATATTATTTTTATATTCTTTACATTTAACATATAATAATTTTTATTTCAATTTTTTTTAATAATCTATTCTATTTATGATTATTCACTTTATTTTATAATTTTCGATCCGTATAAATAGCTGCTGACTTTTTTTAAAAGATTTTTTACCTTTAACCTTTATAATCAAAAAAATTTTTTTTTATGTACCAAAAAATATATATATATTAATTATATAACACTCACTAAGTTAAAAAATTTGCTTGCTAACAATATTCAAGAAGTTTTTCAATATTTTTACTCAATCATCAAATTATGCTAAGGATTTTCAAAATTTTGTTTGCTTGCTAACAATAATTTTGAATATTCAAGAAGTTTTTCAATATTTTTGCTCAATCAAATTATGCTAAGGATTTTCAAAATTTTGTTTGCTTGCTAACAATAATTTTGAATATTCAAGATGTTTATCAATATTTTTACTCAATCATCAAATTATGCTAAGGATTTTCAAAAATTTGTTGTATTATTATTTTATTAGATCGATAAATATTTTTTTTCAAATAAATCATGATAATAAGAATCGAATTCTCGCTACCTTAATAAATATCTTGAATAATCTTGTTTATAGAGTTAGCGTATCTCTTATTTTATCATTCCTCTATTCCTCTCCTCCCGAGATTAGTTCTCCCGAATAAGTACATTTGTAAAGCCGGATCTGTCAATAAAAACTGATCCGATAATTCTGCTCATTGTAGATCATAAACCAATATATATCCTCCGTTGTAATCATAGCTAACGCCTCAAGCGTGGAATGAAATTCAGTAATGATCCCACTATTCACGTTGAATCGCTTATACTTTGCATTGCGAAAGTTAGGTTCTATGGTATAAAACTGTTCTTTAGACCCAGAAGTTCCACGTAAGAGTTTCGCTTGAAGGAATTTGACCTTTTTGTTGATACTGACCCGTTTCGCTTCGAAATTAAATTGTTTGGAAAGGAAATGAGCAATGGTAGAGACCTCCACCGCCTCAAGATACCGTTCAACTGAGTTCGCCTTACGCCCACTCTCAAGGTATTCTTTTATCACTTTCTCAGCCGGTACGCGCTTGACATCTAGAGCAAAATATGCATATCGTTCCGCGCAAACGGACTGTGGGCCGAGCTTAAAAGAACATTGGCATTTGATTTTTTAAAATACTCCTTGTTCATGATGTCGTCAAGTGTTGATTACGCAAAAATGTTCCCGTTTGCTCATCAATCGTATCACAATCGGTTTCATCCGGATTTATTTCAAGGTCTTAATGAGTATACGTCATTTCACAAAGTAGCGGTTAATGAAACGGAAGAAGTGATTGTCAAACAAGTGGCCTGAAATATTTGAAGATTAATTCCACATCAAAATCAATCACTTGAATGTCCCCAATTATATCACGGAATATGCGAAGCATCTCATCGGTGTAGTTTGTGAAAGTAGAGAATGTTTGACGATTGCATTTTTTCCAGCACGCTTTCTGCAATTAAGCCGTTCGGATCGCCTTCCGGGTAATTATCGTACATATTATTGTAACGACGTTAATTCCTCCTAGAACGTCTTCTGGACCATCGCCTCCACCTTTAGTTGATATCCCATTGGATATATTGTTTCTGAATTGTTCGTATGAGTTCGTGAAGTTGAAAGTTGTCATCACCATCGCAGTGATCACGATAACAGCAAAAGCCAACACGGATTTTAATCGTACGTTTCATGTAGCTTACTACATGCATGATGCAATCCTTGGCAGTGGCAATATGACTATATATAGAACCGGTACAATCCAAAACGTAACAAAGGTCAACATTCATTGCGGATTTGATCCTTTTAAGCATTGATGATATAGTCTTTTCTCGTAAAGATTTAGTATGACTAATGTTTTATCACTCATAAAACGTGCTTCACCCGTCTTCACGGCATAACGTTCGACACGGTATATGTTCAGGTTGTCCATTTTGGATATGAGTGACGAGGGGATGGAACCGGCATTAGGGTTTGGAATCGATTCTATCAAAATCGAATTAATCGAAAATCGAATAAAAAATCGAATCTATTTTATTAGTGCAGTAAGTGTGACATAAAAAGAGTTAAGCGTAAAATTAAACGATACTTTGCTTATTTGAGAAAAAAAGATAATAAAAAAAATCGATCGTGACAAAAAAAAATAAAGAAAATGAAAACGAAACTAAAAAGCCTCACCTCATATCGCGATGCTTGATCAAAATAAAATTAAAAAGAAATTAAAAAAAAAGTTTCTAAAAGATCACCCGAACTTTATAAAAAAATTAATTAAGTCAAATTAAGTTATAAAATAGATCAGAATCGATTAAACAAAAATGCCAATACCTAGTTCCGATTAAAATCATGATCAAAAATCATTTCTCCATAAAAATAAATTCATTAGAATCGATTAATTGAAATCGAAAATCGAATCTTATAATCGAATCTTGAGATTCAATAAATCGCGATTAATCGATTCTTTAATCGATTATACTTTTTGGAATCGATTCCATCCCTAACCGGCATTTGTTGTGCTAGATGACCAACCAGAAGTTAGAGAACCAGCATCACAAGGCGCACTAAACGTATTCCCGAATTTTTTTCATGTCAAATTCTGTGCCCCATTTTTGCTAAAAATTAACTTACTATCTTTTAAGAGTTATTTAAGTGGGCATGATAAATATTATCTTTTAAAAATAGAAAGTGAATTCCAAATCTAATAAATCAAGCATGTGACTATTATTTATAGAGTAATTAAATTGCTAAAGGGTCACTCCTGAGAATTAATTCAACAGCGAAATGGAAAGTTATTTCAAATATGCAAAAAATAACCATTTACTAAATTGGAAACAAAAACAAAGGTTAACCATATTTGTAGCCAAGTGTAACTATGCTATTATAAATCACGAGTTACAAATTTGGCTTTGAAATTTGTCAATCCTTTACCTTCACCTTAAAAAATTCATTTTCGCTTTTACTCTTTTAGAATCAATATGTGTTGGCTGTTTTAGTTATTTCGACGTAGATATTTTGACCCAAAAATATTATATTCACAAGACGAACCATCATTTAAATATGTAAAATGCATTTGAGCATTCAAACCTCTAGTAATGGATTTAAAACTTTATGCATTACTAGAATAATTATTATTACATTGACTTTTTTTTTTTTAGATATGCAACTTTGACGCTATTCAGAGCATGGTTTTCATACATAAATTTTGATCTTTTGTCAAGAATTTTTAAAATCAAAAAATAGATTAAAAATTTTTGTTTAACAAATAAACACATAAGGCGTGCTACTGAAGTTGCGCTAATACCTATGAAAAGTCTCATAAGAAAATAGAAAATCATATAAATTAAGAAGCTAATAAATTACAACCTCTAATTAAATAAAATGAAAACCAATATCTGAGCAATTAAAAATACAGTCAGAACTCAATATAGCGAACCTTCTTCACTATGAAATTTTTTAAAAAGAATCAGTTTAACAAAATTTATAAGTTCTATATAATGATTTTTATACATTCAAATATAAAGTCAAAATTTTTGTTTTAATTAAGTGATCGTTATTAGTTTCAATTTAGTTCTTTTTCTGAAATTGCTGATCATTACCAAAAATAGATCATAAATTTTTAACAAAAAAAATTTTTTTATTTTTTGAATAAACTTAGTAAAAGTATTATACAGATTCCCAAAATATGCATTTTTATTTTCTTTATAAGTTTACTTAGGAAAATAGATGTTTTCAATACAGTTTTCTTTGTAAAATATTTTTATAAAATATAATATATGGAAGACAGTTAGTAAAAAAGGGAAAATCCAAAATTTTTGTTAATTTTTATTATTAAGCTAAATTTGTACACATGTTCAAGATCAGTCAAGTGGTCTAATAATATATAAATTTTGACCAAAATTTGGATTTTTCCCTTTTTTACTGACCACCTTCTATATAAGTAAAAAATTAGCATTTCAAACTTTTCTTTTGATTTTAAGTAAAGCAAACATTCATATAAAAGAAATGATTTTAACTGTTAAGTATTAAAAAAATAAAATTTCACAAAATCTAATCTATCTATTTTTAGATATAATTAGCAAAATTAATCATATAATTTCATATTTTTTTTGTAATTATATTGGAAAAGTCCATTTGAATTAAAATTTTTTAATGGTAAAAAATTCTAAGTCTCTAGGAATACATAGTAAAATGAAAACTAGGAGGTATAACATAGTATAACAAATAATACATATAATATAATACTAGTAATATCAAATAATTTTTAAAATTAATTATATTATTTTTAATTTACTAATAAAAGTTAATAAAATCAATAATTAAAAATAAATTTTAATTATAGCTTTAAACAAAAAAAATAATATGTTATGTAATAAATATATTTATTTATATGAAAATTAATTAGAATCAATATATTCTATGACTATTATTATTAGGGTTCTGCAATTTGATTTGATATTTAAATATTTGATTTGATCAAATTTAAATCAAAGAATGATTTATTTGATCAAATTCAAATTAATGTTGATTCAATTCAGTCAAATTTAAATCAAGTATTTAAATATTTAATTTGATTTAAATTAATAGTTAAGTCATCTTCAAAACTTCAGAGGTATATTTTACTAAGAAAATTATAGTAAAAAGCATCTCTATGACTTTAAAAATGCCTTTTTTACTAAGAAAATTATAGTAAAAATCACTTCTGTAACTTTAGAGATATTATTTTATTAAAAAAAAACATAGTAAAAATTGCTTTTACAGCTTTAAAAATGTTATTTTAAAAATCATAATAAAAAATGCCTCTATAACTTCAGAGATATTATGTAAAAAACGCCTTTACATCTTTGAAGGTATTATTTTACTATAAAAACATAGTAAAAATCACTTCTGTAGCTTTGGAAATGTTATTTTTCTAAGAAAATATAGCAAAAAATGTGTCTACAACTTCAGAAATATTTTTTTTACTAAGAAACCTAGTAAAAAAACGTGTTTAAAGCTTTAAAAATATTTTTTACTAATAAAATGTTACAAAGCTAAGATGGCGATTATTATTAAGTTTTCTTAGTAAAATTAAGACCATAAAGTTATTTTACTAAGTTTAATAGTAAAAATTCACCTGTTACTAAACTTACTTTGTAAATGCTATCTTGAAATTTTTTAGTATAATGACTAATAATTTTTTTAATTAAAACTTTAAAATAATTTTATTTTAATATATCATTTTAAAAATTAAAAAAAATTTTTATATTTGATTTGATCAAATATTTGAGTTTGATTTGATTTGATTTAATTTAATTTGAAAAAATCAAATTAAATTCAAATTGCTTAAATATTTGATTCAATTTGGTTTTGAAGAACCCTAATTATTATAATACTTATAATATAAGTATAATAATATATGAAGATTTATTCATTTTAACAAATATATTTTCTATTAATAAAACTAATATAAAATACTGTAAGTATTAAAATAATAATAATTCAAAAATTATTAAATTAATAGATATAAATAATCAAAATTATATATTTTTTAATAAAATATTAAAAAACTTATAAGTTTATTTAAAAAAATTTTAATAAAATAAATAATTTATATTTATAAATTATATTATATAGTAAAAACAGTATATAATATGGGGCCTTTGCAATAGAAAGGGGGGAAACAGCCGGAAAAATCAAAAATGAGTTAATGCTAAATTTAAACATATTTCAGCATAAAAATCATATTTGGCATATAAAGTAAAATTACTTTTTCCCAGCAGTTTCCCCCCTTTCTATTGCAAAGGCCCCATATAATAAAATACTTTTTATCATATTTGAAAATTCTGGTTATATGATTTATTTGAAATTAAGTAAATTTATATAAATATTTATAATATAATTATATAATTAAATATTAATTTTAATATTAATTCTAATTGATAAAATTTAGCTGATGTTATTTTTAATTTAAAATAGAATAATTAGAATTACTAAAGTTATAGGATTATTATAAAAATTAATAATATTAAATCTATAAATAATAGGATTAAAAGATTTATAAATTTAAAGTAATATTTACAAGTAATACTTAAAAATCATGTAAAATTATATAAATTTATTCTTAAACTTAAAGAAATAATTCAAAATATAATAAATAAAAATCATATTATTTCTAATTAATTAAAATTATTTTATAGAATTTATATAAACATTATATAAAATGGATTACAGTGAACTTTTGATATAACGAATTTTAGGATCTGAATATCAACTTCATTATAAGCTTATAATGAATTTTTTAAAGAATTTAATCTGCTAGTTCACTATAATAAGGTAATTTTAATATATTTGATTTAAAAATTCACTATATCAAGAGATCACTATATCAAGATTTGACTGTATTTTTATAAAATACTTATATATTATCATAAGATACTAATGAATTTTCTTATAATAATAATCTAAATAAATTTTATGAATTAATTTATAATTAAAAGATATATACAACTAATTAATTATTTAAATTAAATGTTTAAAAATAATTTTTTATTTTAATGTTAATAGAAATGATTAGATAAAAATTTAGTGAAATTAATATTACTAAATTTTGAATTAATTAATAATAATTCCAGCTATAAAATTATGGTATTTTTAATAGCCAATCACCCATATTAGTCAAATAAAATATTATTACTTGCAGAGGTCTAATTGTTACTCATAATATTATTGATCATTTTTTGTTGATCATTTATATTTAAAAAATAAAAAAATAATTATTTTTAACTCAATTTATTAATAATTATATTTAGTAACCAGTAGGTAGCAGTCTTATAAGACTGCT